TTATTAGCAAGTAGATACAAAGCTCACTCGTGGTATCAGATTTCACAACAAGTGAATTTTACTCAGTACCATTTATACCTCACACAGTATCTCATTTTAGTCACCTCTTACGACAGGCATGCTTTACCTTGGGAATATTCTAGCGGTGAAGACGTTATGAAAGAAGCTTCTCAGTAATGTTTATTACATCCTTAGTTGAAACTAATTTTTTTATTAGTCCTGGAACAAAGAACTTATCAATTGTAAAGCAAATATTATTTTCCCATGAATCAATTACTTAAATTCATATGATTACGAATGAGCCATTTGAAAGTGTTTACATTCGTTCTATTTCATTTGTTCTCATTTCAACAGCTGATTTTTCAACTTGCATGTTGATTTGATTTTTGGCCTGTGCCAAAAAAATGTTGCATGAAAGTTAAATATGCCTTCAAACCTTACATTAGAAACTTAAAACATATTTTTAACTTCGATTAATTACTTTTTGGGAAGTAAAAGTTCTAAAAAGCAGTGCATCGTTTTCAAGAAAATGCAACCACCAAACATTTGTTTACCTTTTTTTGTGAATATGTTAAAAACAGCTTTTTCAAACAGTCAAAATGCCATGAAGAGCTTTCATTTGGGGTATGTTCAATGGATTCCTTTGCATTTGAAACGTATGTGGAATGCATTCGAACGTCATTCATACAGAATGTGAGAAAATTGCTCATTTTTGTGCTTGAAATTTTATATGCAAGAATGAGCCATTCTCATTTTCGATTTTTGACCAAAATGAGCCATTTTCGGCCAATGTAAACGCCGTATAATAATGTATCTTTTGAAGCTAAATTTTAATTCAAAATTTCAAATTTTTAAATTTAAAGCAGCAACATTAGCACATGACATTTGAAGATATGATTTTTCAAATATCAAATGGAATTTAAAAAAAAATGAAATATTTTTAGTTTAGTTTAGATTTTTAGCAGAAATAGTTCAAAATTCATTAGGCTCAAAATTTTCTGTTTCATTCATAATTAATAAATAATAAAATCAAAAAAAGAATGAATATAAATGAGTCTTCCAAAAAATGCAAGAGAGTGACTTTCGGTAAAACTACTGTATATGAATACCCCCGATGTCCTAGCTGGAGCGAAATCAACGAAAATGACGCTGCTTCAAACCATACTGATAACTCAAGTACTGCTCAAAACTCCAAAACAAATAGCAAATCCAATATTCAGGCATACAAAAAATTGAAAAAATGCCAATACTTTTCCCCAAATAAGTCATTAGGTGGAGCTACTGGAATGCGACCATCCAATATAGTAAAAAATTTTGCTGAAAATTTCTTTTATAGATGTCCTCATTTTACGAATATAGGCAGGAACATTGGAAGTAATAGTGCAGTAAATGCAATAGTTCATTGTAACAGAACAGCAAGTTCTCCCTCCATTTCCAAAGCAATAGGACAAAATCAGTTGCCCCCTCGGTCAAAATCTATTGAGAGATTTATAAGAAATAAAAAAACAAACGAACAAACATGTATAAATCCCAAAAAAACATGTTCCGTAGCAAATCACATAAATACGAGAGATGTTAACAAAGCTGTTAACAAAGCCAATAATGTGCCTACTTCGACTGCTCATACAATGAGAAGTTTTACACCTTTACCTCAATACAGTTGTACATATGCTGGCAATGGCACTGCGAGGCCCAATATTAGAAATTTTAGAAAAGAAACTGTAAGTGTTTGCCCTTGGAGAGAACAGCAAAAAGCAAAATTCGCAGAAAATTTTGGGCATACTAATCATTGTTATCCTGGTGTTGACAGAAAGAGCGGAGGCAATGATCTTGCAGCTCCTAAGGGGTCTCCGTGTAACACTAATGCATCCACCAATTATAATGGAAACTATGACCGCGCACAAAATGCAGCCACAGGACCTTGTAACACAAATTCAAGAAATAATTCTGAAAACAATTGTTCATGGTTAAACAACGACGGGCATTCGAATAAAACAAATGCTCCATGTAATGCTAATATTTCCATGAATTTTAGAGGTAATTACCAATATACACACAACTCAGCTTCAGAACCTAACATTAGATATATGAGAAATGATATTGCAAAAGAACAATCAGGGGTAAACAACGATCGGCGTCCTAATAGAACAAATGCTCAATGTAATGCTAATACTCCCATGAATTTTAAAGGCAATTGTAAGTATACACATAACTCTACTTCAGAACCTAATATTAGTAATATGGGAAATAATACAGCAAAATATCAATCATCTGCAATCAAAGAACGACGTCCTAAAATACTAAGCACTCCTTGCAATACTAACACTTCCACCAATTATAAAAGTACTTGTCAGTATGCACAAAATATAGCTCCAGACCCCTCTAAAAGAAATTCGATAAATATTACTGGAAAAGATCGCTCAGATGTACAATACGAAGGACGCACTTATGCAGTAAATGGCCCATGTAATATTAATACTTCCTTGAATTTTAAACGAAATTGTCAGAATACACGTAACACAGCTCCAGAACCTTGTAAGAGATGTTCGATTAATAACACTGAAAAAGATTACTCATGTGTAGGCAACGAAGGAGGTCCTACCCGACCAAATCCTCCATGTAATGCTAATACGTCTATGAATTTTAAAGAGAATTGTCAGAATACATATAACACAGCTTCAGAACCTTGTAAACCAAAAATGATGAATTATGCTGAAGAAGACTATTCATGTGTAGGCAACGAAGGGCGTACTACCCGGTCAAATATGCCATGTAACGCTAATACTTCTATGAATTATAACCGCAATTTTCAAAACGCATATAACACTGCTCCAGAACCCTTTAGAAAAAATTCGATGAATAAAGCTGGAAATGATCGTTCTTGTGTGAGCAATGAAGGACGTTTTATCCGACCAAATACTCCATGTATTGTTAATACTTCCATGAATTATAACCGGAATTGTCAAAACACACATTACACTGCTTCAGAACCATTTAGAAAAAATTCGATGAATAATGCTGGAAATGATCGATCATGTGTGAGCAAGGAAGGACGTCCTACCCGACAAAACGATCCATGTAATGGTAATACTTCTATGAATTTTAAAGGGAGTTGTCAGAATACACATAACGCAGCTCCAGAACCCTTTAGAAGAAATATGGTGTGTAACACTGGAAAAGATCGTTTATGTGTCAGCAACGAAGGACGTCCAACCCGACCAATTACACCATGTAACACTAATACTTATATGAATTTTAAAACGAATTGTCAAACTACACATAACACAGCTCCAGCATCTTATAAAAAAAATTCGATGAATAATGCTGAAAATGATCGTTCATGTGTGAGCAAGGAGGGACGTTCTACCCGACCAAATACTCCATGTATTGTTAATACTTCCATGCGTTTTAAAGGGAATTGTGAGAATACATACAACACTGCTCCAGAACCTTGTAAAAGAAATTTGTTGGATAATGCTGAAAAAGATCGGTCGTGTGTAAGCAACAAAGGGCGTTCCACCCGAGCAAACTCTCCATGTGATGCTAATACTTCCATGAATTTTGAAAGGAATTGTCAGAATAAACTTAACATAGCTCCAGAACCTTGTAAAACAAATCCGATGAATAATACTGGAAGAGATCATTCATGTGTAGACAAAGAACGACGTCCTGCCGGACCAAATGCTCCATGTATTTCTAATACTGCAATGAATTTTAAAGGGAATTGTCAGAATATACATAACAAAGCTTCAGATCCTTGTAAAACAAATTCGATGAATAATGCTGAAAAAGATCGGTCGTGTGTAAGCAACAAAGGGCGTTCCATCCGAGCAAACTCTCCATGTGATGCTAATACTTCAATGAATCTTAAAGGGAATTGTCAAAATACAAATAACACGGCTTCAGACCCTTGTAAAACAAATTCGATAAATAATACTGGAAGAGATCATTCAATTGTACCCAAAGAACGATGTCCTCCCCGACCAAATTCTTCTTGTGGTGCTAATACTCCCATGAATTATGAAAGGAACTGTCAGAATAGATATAACACAGCTTCAGAACCTTGTAAAAGAAATTCGATAAATAATACTGGAAATGATCGTTCATGTGTGAGCAAGGAAGAACTTTCTTCCGGACCAAATACTCCATGTAATACTAATACTTATATGAATTTTAAAAAGAATTGTCAAAATACACATAACACAGCTCCAGAACCTTGTAAAAGAAATCCGATGAATAATGCTGAAAAAGATCGGCCGTGTATAAGCAGCAAAGGAGGTCCCTCCCGAGCAAACTCTCCATGTAATGCTAATACTTCTATGAATTTTAAAGGGAATTGTCAGAATACACATAACACAGCCTCAGAACCTTGTAAAACAAATTCGATTAATAGTACTGGAAAAGACCATTCAATTGTACCCAAAGAACGATGTCCTCCCCGACCAAATTCTTCTTGTGGTGCTAATATTCCCATGAATTATGAAAGGAATTGTCAGAATAGATACAACACAGCTTCAGAACCTTGTAAAAGAAATTCGATAAATAATACTGGAAATGATCGTTCATGTGTGAGCAAGGAAGAACGTTCTACCGGACCAAATACTCCATGTAATACTAATACTTATATGAATTTTAAAAGGAATTGTCAAAATACACATAACACAGCTCCAGAACCTTGTAAAAGAAATCCGATAAATAATGCTGAAAAAGATCGGTCGTGTATAAGCAACAAAGGAGATCCCTTCCGAGCAAACTCTCCATGTGATGCTAATACTTCCATGAATTTTAAAAGGAATTGCCAGAGTAGACATAACACAGCTCCAGAACCTTGTAAAAGAAATTTGATAAATAATACTGGACGAGATCAATTATGTGTAGACAAAGAACGACGTCCTCCCCGACCAAATGCTCCATGCATTGCTAATATTTCAATGAATTTTAAAGGGAATTGTCAGAATACACATAACACAGCTTCAGAACCTTGTAAAACAAATTCGATGAATAATGCTGAAAA